AGGAGGCTGAAGGAGCTGAAATGGAGAGGGAAAGTGGATGTGGGGCTGGGTGGGAAGCGTGCAGGAAAGAGAATTTCCTCAGGAGGCATGCAAAGCAAAAACTGCTCCATGCTGTCGCCTGCACATTTGGATTTAGGGTAATAAACATTAAGTGAATTGGCCCAAATATAAGATTTTCTCCAGCAATGTTTGGCCTCTCAGGCACAGAATGGAGGAGACAAGGGCTTGTCAGAGAGGGAGGGAAGCAAACAAGTTGAGGGTGCTTGCAACACAGTTATGACAGAGATGGACTGTGAACTCTAAGCCAGGGGGATGGTAGGGTCAGTACGATGTGACCCTGTGCCTGGGCCTTTGGCAAGACTTCTGGGACAGCCAAGGATTGTCTGTCCTATCTGGGTGCAATAAGCCAGCCCTCCCCCTTGGCACTGACGAACCCACACTGTTTGCCCCGCTCTCAAGTGGGGAGGGCACGGGCAAAATAAGGCAACCATGTGTCTTGATCAGATGGAAGATTTTTACAAGCAATCTGTGACTAATAATAAAGAATTGAAGCTTGGGGAGCATTTTCTTTGACTGAGTCATCTAAGGTTATCTTTATCACGTTACTTTATCTCACTATTGTCCAGCTAAGCTGTCTTGAATGCAGGAGAAATGACAAGCTATGGCCGGCACAAGAGTATTGTGAAAATCTGCGGTGTCGCTTTTTATAAAGAGTCCCCTAACGAGCGATGCCTACGTAGCTCAAGAAATTTTTGTCCACAGGAATGACAGTGCCGTAGGGGTCTTCGTGCCCAGTAAACGGCTTACATCTGCAGCTCCATCTAGAGAGCTTTGTGGTACACAGAGTCAGGGCCACACAATTCATATTCAGAGGTCGCCATGGAGACTCCTGGCCATCCACCATCCTCTTTTACTCTTTTTCCAATGTAGCAGGTGTAGCCTACCAGACTGCCCAGGTACCAGGCTGCCCAGCTGTCAGGAGCTTCCCAGCCTCCTTGTGTGGAGCCCCGTGACTACAGTGAAGTGATAGAAGTGATGTGTATCACTTCCAGGCCAATGTCTTAAGGCACAGTGTGTTTCCTCTACATTCTCTTTCCAGTTCCCACAAACTGGAGCACAGAGGGGCCTGCAACCTGGCCTCGACCTGGGACGAAGCTGAAGGGATAATAAAGAACAAGATGGAAAAAACTTGGGTCCCTCAATGACCAAGGGCAGCAAAGCTACCTGCCAACCAGGAATGCTCACCTTGACTGTATCTTAGATCAGTTGACTTGGAACAGACTCCCCAAGAGGTTTGTTGGGGAAAACTCTCAGGAGCAGCAGCCTGTAAGTAGCAGGGCAGGAGAAACTGCAGTGAAGTTGGGCAAGAGCCCTTCACTGATCCAGTGGGGAGCTCTGGAGTTGGGATAGCCCTTCCAAGGTGCCCTAGACTGAAGCAAAAGGATGAAAACTTCTTACTCCATGCCTACTGGTCATTTTTGGATGAAGGCTGCTCCCAAAAGGGGCACAGCTTGGGTGAGCCAGCCCCTTTAACCCAACGGCAATTCCTGGAGAGGGTCTAACCTAAGAACCCTCAACAACCAAGGTGCCCAGCAGCTGGGGAGATGGATAAAGGGAGGGTCTGGGTGGCGCACTGCAGCATCCACTGCAGACTGTCACCTAAGAGAGAAGCTTTAATCTTCGTTAAGCCACTGATTTATTGTAGAGTCTCTTTATTAGAGCACCTCCCTCCACTCCCATCTACTAAACCTCTCTGCTGGTTACAGGTGCATATCCTTACCTCAACAGAGAGAAACTCCTTGAGATGGGCACTAACTCAAGTGGTTTGCAAAGTGTGGTCCCCAGACCAGCAGGGTTAGCATCACCTGGGAGACTGTTTAAATTGCAAAGCCTACTCTTCCCTTTGGACCTACCGAGTCAGAAATTCTGGGGATGGGGTCCAGCAATGTGTGTATCAACAAGCCCCCTGACAACACCCAAGACTGAGAACCACTGCTGTAGGTTTTCTCCTTTCTAGACTCAGAGCACCACCCACTGTGCAGAGCACATGGTGGCCTTGAGGGTAGTTTGGAACAGCCTCTCCTCGAAGCTCTGGAGCTGTGCATTAGGGAGCTCACAGCCTGATGATGTTTCATCTGCTGTTGGGATCCCATTCTTCCCTTCTGATACTAGCAGCACCCTCCTCTCCTCTGCCTTGGAGGTGTGTAAGGCCATGGGATCCTCACTGCTTTGGGGCCAAGCAGATCTGGCTTCTAGTCCCAGCTGTGTCTACTCCCAGCTGACTTGTCTGTGCCTCAGTTTCCTCATTTATACAATGAGGATAAACCCAACTCTACATAGTTATTGTGAGACCAACATGAGAAAATATACCTTAGTGTCTAATCCTGCCTGGCACCCAGCACTCCATAACTGTAGCTAGCTCTGTCCGTCCATATCCTTCAGGGCTCACCTGGTCATTAATAACAATTTCCAAAAATAGGTCGGGACACATTTATACTGCAAGGTAAAGTTGGGCGGTGAGGAGAGGAGGCTTCCTTCCCAGCCCCTGAAATCACACTGCACATCAGGCTCTCTCCCCGTCTGGACTCAAGGCCTTTGACCTTGAGGAGGTCTCATTCTAAAGTGCCCCTTTCAACAGAAAGCTGAGCACACCAGTTGGGCTAATGGTGTTTACAGCTGTCTGATGAGCCCAAGGGGGCTAGGTGGCTCCCCATTTGGATAGGGGTGGAGGAGGTGACACTTCTCTATATTTGTTTCTTTTCATCCAAAAGTGGAAAATAATCCCTGAGACATTTCACAGCCCAGATCTCAGGGTTCTTCAAGTTCAGCCTGACACAGACAGAGAAAGGGAAGAATTTTAAGGATACCAGGGTAACCATCCTGCCCCAAAAGATTCTCCCTAACCTGCTAGTTGAGGGCTGATGGTCCTCAGCTTGGGACCAAGGCCTTCCATTCTGCATTGGGAGTGCAGACACCCATAGGAGAAGGGTCAAACAACTTCCACTGACAACAAAGATGAAGTTACTGGCTGACAGCAGGCCTTTCCTGAGAGTGGGTTCTGGCAGATGGAAGCTCTGGGCAGCTGAAGAGGGAGAGTGCCCAGCTCAAACCAGCCACAAATTTGAGTTCACTGATCATATCTCAGCACCCAGCGCTATGTTGGCGTTTCATCCTAACTTTCATTCTTCTATTGAGGTCTTCATTAATTCCATAAGCCAGTCCTCTGTATTCTGTATTAGTGGCCAATTACAGGAGGAATCCCTCCCTGTCCCCATACCCACAGACAGGCCACCCTCAATAGCACTGCTCTGAGATGCTGCGTGCCTGAGAAGCTTGAGGGATGCATTCAGGGGGTGAGGCTATAAAGCCTGTCCCCACCAGGGAAGCCCAGAGGTTAACTGACAATAGTCAATTCTGTCTTTAAGACCTTGCAGAGGACTCAGAACCTGCTCTGTGCAATCTTCCAAAATGAGGAACCTAAAGCCTTGTGCTGAGCCAGTGCCACTTACGATCTTCTATATAAGGACAGAAAGTTTTGTTTTGTCCAGGAGGAACCTCTCATTCTGGGTTCAAGCAACTCTCCTGCCTCAGCTTCCCAAGTAGCTGGGATTACAGGCATGTGCCACCACGTCCGGCTAATTTTTATATTTTTAGTAGAAGTGGGGTTTCACCATGTTGGCCAGGCTGGTCTTGAACTCCTGGCCTCAAGCCATCCATCCACCTTGGCCCACCCTGTAATCCCAAAGTGCCGGGATTATAGGCGTGAGTCACCACACCCAGACCAGAGTTTTGGAACTCAACAGGCTCTTTCCCATGCCATCTTGTCTGGTCCACCTCCAGCCTGTGAGGACAGGTAGGCAGGCTCAGAGAGGCTAAGGGATTTGCCCCAGTTACACAGCTAGTAAGAGGGGAGCTGGGGATTGTCCCCAGGTCTTGCATTTCCAAATCTGGTGCATTTTCCATTGCTCAAGGAGACAGCTGTAGCAGCAAAGCCCAGAGTCCATCTGAAGAGTCCCATGGCTTCCACCAAAGAAGAAAAAAGAGAGAGTGCCTGGGCCAAGTATGACCCTGGAATTCAATGGAAAGTCTCCTATATTTCTCTGGCGCTGGCCGTCCTTCTCCTTCAGTGCTGCCCAGGCATGTGTGTTGGGGTTGTACAATGGCTTATGGTTTGGGACCATTCATTACTTTTCCAAGGAGACAGAGGCCAGGAATTACATGAGCAATTTCCTCAGAGAAGGTACTTTGTATATTAAAAGTTCTCCAATAGAGACTCTGAGATGGTCCAGAAGAAGAGAGCCTTGATCTAGAAGACAAACAGGCAGCATGTAGCCATGGAGGTCACAGCCACAGGCCTGGGCCCTTAGAGAGGCTGGAGCCCGACCGCCTTAGAAACACCCACTGGATGTTTCTATAAGATCATGTGAGTGCCGTGGCTCCATCCAGTCCTCCTGGAAGGAGCTGGGAGGTGTGGCTTGCCTATCGGACAGTCAAGCACAAGTGACCCCTGAGCATTCCTTCCCCCATAAGTGTCTCTTCAGACCAGTCATGTCACCATTACTAAGGTATGAGGAAACTAAGGCAGCTTGGCAGTCTCATTTCCCTGTGACGTCAGAAGTGGAGGTGGCAGATTCCTTAGGAGACCCCTTTTCAGAACAAAGGATGTCTTCTATATCTAGAAGTGACTCCCTGCCCTCTGAGGCCTCGCTTCCTTCCTCAAAGCCACACTGGGATGGGGGAGGGGTCTATGTGTCTGTGAGATTTTGGCAGCAAGAGAAAAACTTCTAGGTTTGGTATAGAGTGAAAAATTTTATAGTGGAAAACTCTATTCCATGGACTGTCTTACCTAATACATGAAACACCCTGGCTTTAACAGCTGCGGCACGTGCTCTTTAGCTGCTTCACGCCCACCCTCCATCCTTCCACCCACTCACCCTTAGAAAAAAGATCTTGCCTATTGTTTCCCCCCCCCCACCCCCAGAAGCTAGTTCACCATACCCAAAACGCTACAGTCTTAGTATCCCAATAAAGATCTTTAAATGTATTTTGGTAGCTGTTATTTAAACAATATGTTCAGTGGATAAAGACTTCCTTATTTTGCGTGCATATGGGACCATGTGTAAAAACAAAATGATTGATTTACACTCTATGTTGGATCAAAACAAGTCATGGCTAAATGATGGCATGATTTAGTGGAGAGTCACTGGTACATCCCTTCAGTGGGCAGAGACCAGAAAGATTTGAGAGATGGACACACGGGGTCAGGCCAACTCTCACTTACAGCAGGGCACCAAGCTGATCTTGGATTTACATTTTCTGTCACTTAATGTTCCTCAAAGACTGAGATGTCGGGTTCCCTCTTCTCTGCCTTCTGTGATCACATGAGGGAATATAATTCACCATGACTTTTTTTTTTTTTTTTTTTTAGAATTGAGCTCTCACTCTGTCACCCAGGCTGGAGTACAGTGGCCTGATCATAGCTCGCTGCAGCCTCAAACTCCTGAGATCAAGCAATTCTGTCATCTCAACCCGCAGGCTCATATCCCTGGGCTAATTTTTAAAACTTTTTTGTAGAGACTGGGTCTTGTTATATTGCCCAGGCTGGTCTTGAACTCCTAGCCTCAGGTGATCTCCTGCCTCTGCCTCCCAAAAAGCTGGGATTATAGGTGTGAACCACTATACCTGGTACTGACTTCTGAACCATCAGGGGTTTTTTTGTTTTGTTTTTGTTTTTTGAGACAGAGTCTCACTCTGTCACCCAGGCTGAAGTGCACTGGTACAATCTCAGCTCACGGAAACCTCCACCTCCTGGTTTCAAGCTATTCTGTTTCAACCTCCAGAGTAGCTGGGACTACAGGCACCTGCCACCATGCCTGGCTAATTTTTGTAATTTTAGTAGAGACAGGGTTTCACCATGTTGGCCAGGCTGGTCTCGAACTCCTGACCGCAAGTGATCCGTCTTCCTCGGCCTCTCAAAGTGCTGGGATTACAGGTGTAAGCCACCATGCTAGGCCTAGCATTTTGTTTTACTATCCTGTAACAGATACTGTTGATGCTTCTTATAAGCCCTAAACCTACCCTTGAGTATTTCTGAGCATCTCTTCCTCAATTTCGATGTGCCTTTATTATGAACACCCCATACCAGTGACTATCTTAAGAAGATAGTCGGTTACTGGAGATACTTTTCTCAGATGAAAGCACCTGGGAGTTTGTATTCACCCTCCCACCCCCCACCCCAGGGTAAGTCATAGCCAATGACAGACCAGTAAAAGACTGTGACAGATAGCCCTTTCTCAAAATGGCCACATCTTGGTCCCACATGTTCTAGAACGTTGCTGCTCCCCAACCAAGAGGTGGAGTCTATTTTCCCTCCTTTTGAAATTGGGTGGGACTTCGTGACTAATTCTATGCAGAATGTGGTGGAAGTGATGCTGTGTAGTTCGTAAGTCTAGGCCATAACAGGAGACATTGCTTATACCTGCCTCTCTCAGGACACATGCCCTTGGAACCCAGCCACCATGGTGTGAGGAAGCCCAGGACACGTGGGGAAGGCATGTATAGACTGGCTGGCCGAGAGGCCCCGCTAAGGTCCCAGCCCACAGCAAGGACCAGCTGTCAGACCTATGAGTAACTGCACCTCCAGAGGACCCAGGCCCCAGCCTTCAAGCTGCTCCAGCTAGTATGGTGTGGAGCAGAGATGAGCTATCTCCACCAAGTCCCCCACCAAATTGAAGACCCATGAGAAAAATTAGTCTTGTGGTTGTTTTTGAGCTACTATGTTTAGGGATGGTTTATTGCTCAGCAATTGATACTTGACATAGATTTAATACCTAGAAGTGGGGTACTATCATAATGAAACCTAAAGAATGGGGCTTGGGACTGGAAGGCTGGAAACACCTTGATAAAGGGGTTAATGAAAACCTAAAGGGCCTCAAAGGGACTGTCAGGGGAAGCCAATGGCCCTGGAGGACCACTGCAATTTTTCCAGACCCCTATGAAGAAGTGGGGCTTTATTTCTCCTCCCCTTGAAATTGGGCAGGCCTTAATTCTGCTAGATAAAGAGAGCAAAATTAATACTGTTATTGTTTTAAGCCCTGTAGGGGAGGGTCAGGAAAAGGCCATTTCATGAGGCTAATTTATTAATTACTCTCAACAAGCTCTTTAAAACCACCAAATATACATGGATTATTCCTAAACTTAATTTTTAAAAACTAGTAATATTATTATTTTGATTTGCATTTTTATATCCATAATTAATTCTTTTTGTTGTTGTTGTTTTATGACAGAGTCTTACTCTGTTGCCCAGGCTGGAGTGCAGTGGCTAAATCTCAGCTCACTGGAACCTCCACTTCCTGGATTCAGGTCATTCCCCTACCTCAGCCTCCTGAGTAGCAGTTTCCTGAGTTACAGGAACATGTCACTATGCCCGGCTAAGTTTTGTATTTTTAGTAGAGACAGGGGTTTCACCGTGTTGGCCAGGCTGATCTTGAACTCCTGGCCTCAAGTGATCCAGCTGCTGTGGACTTTCAAAGTGCTAGGATTACAGGCATGAGCCACCAAGCCTGGCCTATATCCACAATTAAGTCTAAACTTCCCCTGAGTTAAAGACCCTAACTCACAAAGAGAGAAAATATTTTTACCATTCCAAGAAATTAGGATTAACATTCCAAGCAAATTGGATGACCCTCTTGCTAGGTTGAGTTGCTCACTGACGACATTTGTGGCTGGATCACGAAATCTGGAGCTATAGATGCCTAGGGAGATTCTCCTCATGATAACAACAAATCACTTGAGCCTGATTATGCAGAAGCTGTGCTGAAACTTGGTGATTCCCAGTTCAAATCCTCCAAATGGGTGGTCTCACAGCCTGTGCTCTGAGTTATATCTTCCTCACTTTCTGTATCTTCCCTAATTATCAAGCCTGATTTGAATTTACAAAACCAGCCCCTCACCTGCAACTCAGGTCCTTCCCCTCTATATTAGAAGTCCCCTATCGACTGTTTAATGTTATTCTGAATTCTTTTCATGCTCTTCCAATCTGGCGGGGCCACATCTCTTGAATATATTTAAATCCAATTGGATTCTGAACATCCTTCCCTGTCATTGAAATTACTTCAATGACAGGCGGAAGGCACAAAGATGATCATTGTAGCATCATTTATACAGCCTAACCATTGGAAACAAATAAAATAACCAGGAAAGAAACTGTTAGATCTCAGTCACATTCAGGGTAAGGTGGCAAGAGGGGAAACACAAGGTGGGCTTGGTGCCAGGTACCTATCGTCCCAGCTACTCAGGAAGCTGAGGCAGATGGAGCTTGAGCCCAGGAATTCAAGGCTGCGGTGAGCTATAATGGTGCTAGCACACTCCAGCCCCGGTGACAGAGCAAGACACGCCCCCCACTACCACCACCAAAAAAAAAAAAAAAAAAAGACAGGAAATACATCAGTCACTTATCTAGGCCTATGAAAGCCTAAGGAACAAGCAAAGGGGTGTGAGACCTCAGGCCAACGCTGCACTTGGGATCTGTACGCATACACCATCCCTTATACTCAGTTTTGACCACAATGAAGCAAAGTCTGAAAGCTGCCTGGAAGGGATGAACAGTCTGTGTGCTGCATGTGCACAGAGATACGTAGGACACAGATGAGACATTTACCTCATATTCATGCCCATATTTTGAGATGCAGAGACCCAGCAACTAAAATGAGCCTGCAAGCTGTGCCTCCCACAAAGAGAAAGGCCTGATCAACTCATTCGTACAGAGGGGTGGTGTGGCTATGGAATGTCTATCTAGAAAGGATTTAGAGAGAGCAATTGGTTGGAAGGATGACAATGGTAGATTTGGGTGGAAACAGTGGTAGCATTATAAGTGCACTGTTTTTATTTTGAAATAGAGATGGTAGCTAACCATCCTCCCAGCTACCCCTTGGTACTGCCTCTACCAGACACTAAAAAAGCACAGAGGAGAGTAGTGCCTTGCTCCACCAAAAAGACTCTCTAATGGTAAAGGCAGGGACAGAAAATTGGACTCGATGGAGGGGGGTCCCTTGAGAGCAGAAAGCAATGATCAAATCTCTTACAATAATATGTTCTCTGGCTTAGTGAAACAGATAGGCTGGCAAGAGTGGCTGGGAATTGCTTTCCTGGTAAGAAACCCAAAAGAGAAAATTACCACTGGGCAGGCAGGGCTTTCTAGAATGCCCAAGGGCTTGTCCCCTGTTCCACCAGCTGCTGAGTCAGCAAAGGACCTTGTGTTTGTTTAATTCTGTATCTCGCCAGCTGTGTCTGTATCAACAGTAGCCCCAGACTTAGAATTAATCAGCCTTCACATTTATAGGTGATGCTTTTTGCTGAGATGTTGAGAGCAAAGGAGAAAACAGAAGGAAAATTCCAGCTTCTGTGGAGGGATTCTTCCAGCTGGAAAACCCCAATTCAGGGTCGTCCAACCTCAGAGAGAGTACAAGCCCAAGTCCCGCAGGCATGGGGGAAGTACTCAAGTTCCAGTGCTGATGTTCTGACCTGGAGAGGGTGAGCAGGGCTGGAATTCAGCTGGGGTAGTGGAGGCAGTCCGAGTCCTGCTTGCTGGGTCCTCTCTGCTGAAGGAGGCCAGATGCCCTAAGAGTGCAAGCAGTTCAGCCAGCATGAGTGAGAGCCCACACATGCCCAGCTCTGTGTCAGGGGCTGTATGTTTGGGGTGGGAGTAGGATCTGGAAGAAAAGCAAGAAGACAGACAGATCTCATGAAATAGAGGCAATTCAAGGCTACGGGTCAAATTCAAAGCACTGGGGCAGGCAGTGGGATGCATTTTCTTCACCAATAGGCATCAGAAAACCTGGATTCCAGGCTGAGCAACATCACAGCTGAGGTCCCTATAACAAAAGACAGATCAACAAGAGAAAAGGTTCATTCCATTTTGATACAGCCACTTGACACATAATTTTACACTACAACCCAGATAAGCTATCTTAAGTGCAGCATTAAAATGAAAGGGCCCAGTGAAAGAATCTAGATACACAAGGCCACATATCATATGATTTCACTTCTTTGAGATGTCCAGGATGGGCACATCCATAGAGACACAGGCAGATTCACGGTTGTAAGGGGCTGGGGGAGAAGTTAATGGGGAGGGACTGCTTAATGGATGCAGGGTATCCTTTTGGAGTGATGAAAATGTTTTGGAATTAGAGAGTGAGGATGCTTGTAAGACATCGGGAGTATACTTATTGCCACTGAATTATTCACTTAAAAAGGTTAAAATAGTAAATTTTTTATCGTTTTTTTCTATAATTTTTTAAAAATGGAACGATCCACTTTCCACTCTGGTTGCCTTTTGCTCCTGTGTGTCCTAGAAGAGAACAGCCTCTCTGTGCTTCAGTTCTCTTCTTCCCCTGCAGCACGAGGCTGTCAGCCCTGCCTTCCTCCAGGGCCTTGGGAGGCCGTGTGTGAGAGCAGGAAGGGCATGGCCATGGGCTCAAAGCCCACCCACAACACTCACTTACTGTGGGATATGAGCAAGTTACCTGGGCTCTCTGAATCTCCATGTTGGCATCTACATATAGAGTTTCTGGGAGTCCAGACTTGCTGTTTGAGTTAGAATAGCTTTTATGAAGAACCAGCACTTACAAATCACGCAAAAAAAGTACAAGTGTATGTGTATATGTTGTGTGTGTGGTGTCTAGCATAGATAGCCTCACTAAAAGGGAGCCAATAGAGCTAATAAATGAACTAATAACTAAGAAAGAACTAATAGAACCAATAAAAGTGGAAGCAAGTTATAAAAGAAAACCTCTGATTAACTGTAAGGAACAGAAGACGGTAAAGTCAGCCATAATTGTTGGTAACATTTCATAGAAAAATAGGATTTGCACTGACCTTTAAGGAGAAGTGAGATTTGGACAGGTGGGTGTGGGGAGGGGTAAGACAAGGCATCCATGAGAAAGGCTTAGAGGTAGGAGCATGCTGGGGCCGGTAAGAAAACTGGGCTGGCTGCAAAAGAGTATTTGGAACACATAGGGAAGGACCAGGTGTTGGGCTTTCTGTGTTGGGCTTTCTTGAACCAGGCCAAAAGTTTGGAACTCATCCTGAAGACACAGAGGAGTCATGGATGGTTCTCTCTTTTTTTTTTTTTTTTTTTTTTTTTTGAGACAGCGTCTTGCTCTGTTGCCTAGGCTGGAGTACAATGGCACGATCTCAGCTCATTGCAACCTCCACCTCCTGGGTTCAAGCAACTCTCCTGCCTCAGCTTCCCAAGTGGCTGGGATTATAGGCACCCACCACTACACCCGGCTAATTTTTTTGCATATTTAGTAGAGACAGGATTTCATCATGTTAGCCAGGCTGGTTTCAAACTCCTGACCTCAAGTGATCTGCCCCCTTTGGTCTCCCAAAGTGTGAGAATTACAGGCGTGAGCCACAGCACCCAGCCATGGATGGTTCTTGAACAGGGAAGGAAGATGATGGATATTTTAACAGAAGAGAATGAATCTGGCCCACACTGTAGAGCAATGCTTAAAGATGATAAGAGTCTAGAGGAAAGGAGATGAGCCTGGCATCTATGGCTTTAATCCAGCATGAGATAATGGGGCATGGGGGAGGGGAGTAAATCTTAGAAACACCCAGTGGAAGAATTCACAGAAGTTCTTCTGGGCTTCAGACTCACCCTGCCACCACTCCTTCTTGGCTTTTGGCATCAACAACATTGGTCTAGCTATTTCTCATCTGTGGGTGTGTTCCTGGAAAAAATTATGGTAGTAGCCAAGAAAATGATTCAGGGGACACAAGCAGAGCTGCATTGACAAGCCCATGTCAGGAAGCACAACGCCGTGTGGGAGGAAGGAGCTGGCTCTCTGCACTATTGGCTTGATGGGGTTCAGGGCATGCTACCCCCCAAATATGGTATCTCGGCATTTGTACAAGTGGCAGAAGCAGGAAGGTTGCTTTCACCTTCCCTTCTTCTCCCCTGAAGCAGGCCATCTGCTCTCGGAAGGATTTTTCTGACCCTCTACTATAGCAGATCAGAAGACCCTCATGTGAGAGGTAAGGAACATCCTCATCTCTGAAGAGAAAGAGTCACTGAGAGGATCCAAACAAATAGGACTTGTGAAGTTCCCCCAGTTTGTTGGCATTAGATCATACTTTTAATCCAATCATACTTCACTGCCATTATTCACTTCTTCATCAAACCTAGCATTAAGGTTTGCTCTTGTTGGTCTACCTTTTGTTATAGGGACCTCAGCTGCGAACATAGCAATGGGTGAGGAAAAGATATTCCTCTCCTATAGGATTAACCTTGCTTCCTGGATTTGGATGCCATAAAGCTCCAAGGCACTTGGGCTGCTCTTGAAGGTCTGTAGGATGGCAGCCAGAAAGTCTCATCATTCCCTGTGGTGGCCACAGGGTACTCCCTGGCAGGGAGAGTAGGCAGCTACTGATACCATGTATTGATAAGGATCTCCATGATCCCAGCAAGTGGCCCCAGGAGAAAATCCTCGCTATTTCAGTCAACTGGGTAACTACTGCAAACTTGAGCCCACCCAGGAGGTGGTGCTTCCACACCAGGGTATGTGGGAGCACAGATATCCTACAGAAATGCATGCTGGAAACTATAAAACATTGTTGAGAACACTCTTCATAAAGAACTCTGAATTCGATAATAAGAAAACCTGAGACCCAACTTTAAAAAATAATGAGCAGAAGATTTAGATATACAGTTCTTTAAAGAAGATAAACAGATGGCAAATAAACATAGGAAAAGATGCTCAACATCACCAGTCATTGAGAAATGCACATTTAAATCATGATGCGAAATCATTACATACCTATTAAATTTAATACAATTTAAAAGATGGACAATTCCAAGCGTTAGAAAAAAACTACAAGCGACTAGTACTTTTATATACTGCTGATGGGAGTATAAAATAATAAAATTGCTTTAGAAAACAGTTTGATAATTTCTTATAAAGTTAAACATACATCTGCCGTAAGATCCCACATGCAACAACCCTAATGTCCATCAGCTGGGGAATGGATAGAGAAATTGTGGCACATCCATAGAATGAACTACTAGTCAACAATAAAAAGAAATGAACTCCTAATGCAAGCAACAATATGATGAACCTCAAAACGATTATGCCAAATTGTAAAAGCAACACTAAAAAGAGCACATACTGTTCCATTCTAGAAAATGTGACTAATCTGTAGTTTGCTCAATGGTTGACTGAGGACAGGTGGGTATGGACAGGCAGGCAGGAGGCAGGAATTACCAAGGGCTATGAGGAAGCTTTTGGAGGAAGATGTTCACTGTCTTGATGGTGGTGATGGTTTCGTAGGTATACATACTCGCACATCAAAACTCATGAAATTGTACGCTTTGTGTGTAGTTTGTTGAGTTTTGGTTGTCAATTATATCTCAATAAACCTGTACAGAAAAAACAAACCTCCAAGTTATCTGCATCCTATTCAGGGTAAAAGCCAAAGTTCTCATAGAGGTGAGGCTACAGTGTGACTGGTCGACTCACCATTCACAGTGCTGCCTCCCCAGCTTCCAGAACAGTGCCTGGAACATAAAAAGAGCTAAAGAGGTCATTGATAAGTGATTGTCTAGCAGGCCCCCACTTAATAATAATAGTTTTTTGGTAAGTGTTGTTAAAAACAAGGAGGAGGAACTACTGACTCCATTTCTCTGGCATCTGTGTATCCTGGAAAAAATAATGATGATTTTAAAAAAGAGCAAGAAAGAACTCCTCAAATAATTAAACATGGAGTTGCCGTATGACCCAGCAATTCCACTCCGGGGTATGTTCTCAAGGGAAAGGAAAAATATGCCCACACAAAAACTTGTTTATGAGAGCTATTTATTTATTTATTGAGGCAGAGTTTCACTGTTGTTGCCCAGGTTGGAGTGCGATGGCATGATCTCAGCTCACTGCAACCTCCGCCTCCTGGGTTCAAGCGATTCTCCTGCCTCAGCCTCCTGAGTAGCTGGGATTACAGGCACCCACCACCACCCCCAGCTAACATTTTGTATTTTTAGTAGAGACAGACTGTACTGTTGGCCAGGCTGGTCTTGAACTCCTGACCTCAGGTGATCCGCCCACCTCAGCCTCCCAAAGTGCTGAGATTATAGGCATGAGCCACTGCACCCGGCCGAATCATATACTTTAAATAGGTAAATTATATGCAATGTAAGCTGTACCTCAATAAATCTGTTTAGAAAGAATAAGGTGGCATATGAGGGAAGGCAGTGCTCTTGCTCAGAGTTCAAGTGCAGAATGGCAACCCTGTTCTACAGTTAGTTCACTGGCATGGTTAGGACCCCATCGAGCACCCCCTGAGAATGAGGTGGCTCAATTTCTCCAGCAGAGAAGGGGCTAAGGGCCCCGAGAGAGCCCTGGAAGGAAGAAAGGGCTTTTTATTTGGGGACAAGTAAATGAAAGCAGTTGCTCGTAGCTCTGCAGCCCACGGCTGGGGCTCCGGCTGCTGCCTTGTGCTGTATTGAGCGACATGACGTCCCCCTATTGCCTCTTAATGATAATACCTTCTATTTATACCAAACACCTCTCCTCCCAGGAGAACGCTATGTTTTCCCAACATTGATTCAGTAAGCCAGCCAGACTGAATTGAATTAAAATTCACAGCAGCCACTCACACAAGCCTACCCTTTCCCCTGCCTGCTCCCTCCTTTGCGCACTGCTGTGATGCTCACAGC